GCTGTCCCTCAGCTCTTCAGCTCAAGGCTAGCACTCTACCACTTGAGCCACAGCGCCACTTCCGGCTTTTTTCTTTTTGCTTATGTGGTGCTGAAGAATTGAACTCAGGGCCTCATGCATGCAAGGCAAGCGCTCTACCACTGAGCCACCTTCCCAGCCCCTTCCACATTCTTTAATAGTGCAGGGCTTCTGGTATGAGTGTCCTCATGTGCAGTGAATTGTGGCAGGACATCTTTTTACATGTCTATATCCCAGCTCTATGGGGTTACGGTGCCTGGGCACTGTGCTTCAGCTTTTTTAGCTTAAGGCTAGCACTGTACCCTTTGATCCACAGCTCCACTTCTGGCTTTTTGGTACTTAATTGGAGATAAGAGTCACACAGACTTTCTTGCCTGGGCTGGCTTTGAACTGCGAGCCTCAGATCTCAGTCTCCTGAGTAACTGAGATTACAGGCGTGAGCCACTGGTACCAGGCCAAATTGTGACTTTATCACTATGGCTTCACGACTGTTTGAGGTCTGGATATTTCTTTATTTATGTCACTTGTAGGGCTTGAACTCTGGGCCTGGGCGCTGTCCCTCAGCTCTTCAGCTCAAGGCTAGCGCTCTACTACTTGAGCCACAGCGCCATTGGTTTTCTGGTGGTTCATTGGAGGTAAGAGTCTCACGGACTACTTTCCTGCCTGGGCCGACTTTGAACGGTGATACTCGGATCTCAGCCTCCTGAGTAGCTAGAATGACAGGCGTGAGCCACCGGTGCCCAGCTTTATTTTTTTTAGTACAGACTTTGCCTTTTTTTCTGTGAGAGGCAGTATTTCTTAACCTGATTAAGTTCTAGGCTTTATAGTGGGAGATGTCAACCATTTCCCTTGGCCACCTCCCTGGCTCACCGGGCCTGTCGCCTGTGGGTCCTTTGGTGCACGGTCAAGTGTGACAGCTGGTTGAATGTCTTCCCGCACTGCTGGCACGCGTAGGGCTTGTGGCCTGTGTGCGTCCTCTGGTGCACGGTGAGGTGGGACTGGCGGTAAAAGGACTTCCCGCAGTCGTGGCACGCGTAGGGCTTCTCGCCCGTGTGGATTCGCTGGTGCACCGTGAGCGAGGAGAAGTGCTTGAAGGCCTTCCCGCACGTGCTGCACACGTAGGGCTTCTCCCCGGTGTGGATCCGCTGATGGGAGGTGAGGTTGGATTTGCAGAAGAAGGCTTTCCCGCACATGGTGCACTCGTACGGCTTGTGTCCGGTGTGGAAGCGCTGGTGCACGGTGAGGTTGGATTTGGAGATGAAGGTTTTGCTGCAGCGGTCGCACCCGTACGGCTTCTCCCCGGTGTGGGTCCGCAGGTGGACCGTGATGGACGCCAGGCGGTTGAACGTTTTCCGACACTCTTTGCACTCATAGGGCTTCTCGCCCGTGTGGATCCTCTGGTGGATGGTGAGCGAGGAGATGTGTCGGAAGGTCTTCCTGCAGTCCCCGCACGCGTAGGGCTTGGCGCCCGTGTGCGTTCTCTGGTGCACGGTCAGATGGCCTCTCTGCTTGAACGTTTTCCTGCACTGCCCGCACTCGAAGGGCTTCTCGCCCGTATGCGCCCGGCGGTGAACCGCCAGGTTGGACTCGAAGAAGAACGTCTTCCCGCATTCTGGACATTCGTATCTCTTCTCCGCCTTGTGGCTTTTCTGGTGCCTGCTGAGCTGGGACCTCTGGTAGAAGCGTTCCCCGCACGCCTTGCACGTGTAGTGTCTTTCCACCGTGTCCAGCTTTCGAGGACCAGGCCGCTCGGGCTTCTGCCCCAAGAACTTCATCCGTTCCCTGCGTCTGCGAGACGCGGGACCTGCAGACGATCCGTGTTGGGCCAGGAGCAATCTCTCGCTACTGCTGCGTCCGTAGTTCTCTCCTTTGGGGGTTCCCCCCCGGGTTCTGCGTGGAGACGTTGGGCGGACCATGATCCCACGGACATCACGGTCTAACGTCCTCTCTTCTATCCAGGGCTTCCCTTGGGTGGCCAGTGCCACCTTCCCCAGGGATTTCCCACACCCCCTCAACGTCCTGGCGCTGTCCCCCTTCCGAAACTTCTTGGGGGTCAGTAACAGCGCCTTTGTGCTGAAGGAGTTCCCTGATCCCAAGTATTTCAGGGGCGGGTGAGCACCGCGAGCCTGGCTGCTGGGCAGGCCCAGCGGCTCAGTGACGTCAGGACCATGGCCGTCCTCATTGGCGGGCATCTTTTCGGACTCGCCATGGGCACGCCCACCGGGCCGCACGTGAGGCTCCTTGGGCCTCAGTCTTGAATGGTTTCTGGTCTTTGGGCTCTGGTTTGTAAGACGAGTTGTGGGCGAGTGAGGTGTGTTCCTACGCCCGGCCATGGCTTCAGGCGAGGCGGTGCTTGTGATCTGCCACAAGGGTCTGTCCAGATGTTCCGGGCTTGTCTTCAGCAGGATGGTTGCTCTGCGCAGGCCTAGGATAGGGTGAGAAAATGGAACACTCGATGAGCCCATGCCTACAGAGTCTTTCGTGGAATTCAAAACAGAAAAGTGCAATCAAAGTGTAGGATTCCAAAAATATGACTTTACTAAAGTGTGGATTTTGGTCCTAATCAGTTAGTAGAAAGAAATGGTTACCTGGGCACTGGTGGCTCACGCCTGCCATCCTAGCTACTCAGGAGGCTGAGATCTGAGGATCGTGGTTCAAAGCCAGCCTGGGATGAAAGTCCGTGACACTCTTATCTCCAGCAAACCACCAGAAAACTGGAAGTGGGGCTGTGGCTCAAGTGGTAGAGCGCTAGCCTTGAGCTGAAGAGCTGAGGGACAGTGCCTAGGCCTAGAGTTCAAGCCCCATGACCAATAAAACAAAACCAAAAAACTTTTATGCAGTTTTAAACACTAAGTACTAGTTCTTTTTTTTTTTCCTTTTTCTTTTTGGGAAAAAGAAAGTGGAGATGTTTACATATTTACCTGTTACGCTGTAGGTTTAGCACACAACCTTCCCCTGCCACTGATTTTCTTTGCTCACAGCAGTTCTATTTCTGCCTTTTTGGTGGTTCATTGGAGATATGAGTCTCACGGACTTTCCTGCTTGGGCTGGCTTCAAACTGTGATCCTCAGATCTCAGCCTCCTGAGTAGCTAGGATGACAGGTGTGAGCCACTGGTGCCTGGCTACAGATTTGATTCTCTGAACTATACTAATAGATAAATTCAATACCCAGAGGCCTGCAATATGAAACTCTCAACTCTTCAGGATGAAACTCTTGTTTTGTGTGGATTTCCTACACACCACAACCTGCTGTCCGAGCCCCAGCTCCCCCAACACCTGGCTCTCAGGCAAGGAACAGCTTGTCTTCATTAATTTTCATTTTCTTATCAATTCCATAGGTGGCTACTTCAACAAATGCTCCCATTTCCAAATATCTAACTCCTATCATCACAGTCATTCAAGCCTATATTTTATGTCAGTGTATTTTACAGACTAAACAGGGGAAATATCTTACTACCGTAAATATTTATTGCTCTCATCAATACTATGGTCCTAGCCAGGCACCAGTGGCTCAAGCCTGAAACCCCAGCTATTCAGGAGGTTGAGATCTGAGGATTGCAGTTCAAAGCCAGGCTGGGCAGGAAAGCTTGTAAAACTCACATCTCCACTGCCAAAGGCAGAAGTAGAGCTGTGGCTCAAGTGGTAGAGCACTAACCTTGAGGGGAAACAACACAGAGACAATGCCCAAGCCCCAGGACTGGCATCAAAAACAAAACAAAACAAACAAAATAACCGTGGTCCTTTAGATTTGTCCTAACACCAAATATTCTTTTTTTTGGTCAGCTGTGACCAAAGCGAGTGCTCTACCACTTGAGGCACAGCACTACTTCCCCAAATAGTCTTTGTTTCACTTTTTTATCTTCAAGTTAGTTCTTCAACAGAAAATGCTTTGATTTTTATCAATATTCCCATAATGACAAAGACCAATTCCCAGGAGTTAATGGAGTAAAAATTGTTGAAAGAAGTAAAAAATTACAAATGCTGGGCTGGGAAGGTGGCTCAGTGGTAGAGCGCTTGCCTTGCATGCATGAGGCCCTGGCTTCGATTCCTCAGCACCACGTAAGCAGAAAAAGCCGGAAGTGGCGCTGTGGCTCAAGTGGTAGAGAGCTAGCCTTGAGCTGAAGAGCTTAGGGACAGCGCCCAGGCCCAGAGTTCAGGCCCCACAACTGACTTCCTCCCGCCCCCCCCAAAAAAATTACAAATGCTAAGTTACACTGTTAAAGAAGGAAAATGGAAAATTTCAGCCAAGTAAATAAAAAAATGAAAATGTCCATAGAGGTTTCACATTTATGACCATTTTAAAATAAATATCAACCAAAACAAACCCCAGGGATGTAGATTTGCATTAAAAATGTATTAATATATTAATACATTAAAAGCCAGATGCTGGTGGCTCATGCCTGTCATTCTAGCTACTCAGGAGTTGAGATCTGAGGATTGCGGTTCAAAGCCAGCCTGGGCAGGAAAGTCCATGAGACTCATCTCCAATAAACCACTCAGAACACTGGAAGTGGTGCTGTGGCTCAAGTGGTAGAGCGCTCGCCTGGAGCTGAAGAGCTGAGGGTCTGCATTCAGGCCCAGAGTTTAAGACTCATGACCGGAAAAAAAAGAAAAGAAAAGAAAAAAAGCATTAAAAAAGCTGGACACTAGTGGCTCATGCCTGTAATCCCAGCTGCTCAGGAAGCTGAGCTGATGACTGTTTCCAGCCCCTAAGACTCTAATCTCCAAATAACCCACAAAAAGCCGGAAGTGGAGCTGTGGCTTAAGTGGTAGGGTGCTAGCCTTGAACACAAAAGCTTAGGGATAGCACCCAGGCTCTGAGTTCAAGCTGGAGGCATGAGACCAGGTGTGTTCAAGTCTGAGACGGGGAAGAACTGGTAGAAACAGCAGAACATGGTGAGCGTGCTGAGTTCCTCTGTCTCCCCTGCCAGCTGTGCGCTGACTGACCTGGGAGGCGAGGTGTGCCGTCGACCCTCCGTGGCCCAAGTCCTTGTTCCAACTTGAAGATCAGCTCAGGTTTGGCCAGGCAGTGTCCTGTCAGAGGGGAAATGATGTAAGGTGGTGACAAAGTGCTGAGTCAGGTCTCCTGAAGAAAGAACTAGAATTAGAACTATCATGAAAGACCCAATCAAAACTTTTGTTAGGGGGTTGGGAAGGCGACTTAGTGGTAGAGTGCTTGCCTAGCATGCATGAAGCCCTGAGTTCCATTCCTCAGTACCACATACACAGAAAAAGCCGGAAATGGCACTGTGGCTCAACTGGTAGAGTGCTAGCCTTGAGCACAGAAAGGCTCAGGTAAAGAGCCCAGATCCTGAGTTCAAGCCCTAAGACAAGCAAAATAAATAAATAAAAATTTACTCTTTAACAAAAACAAAACTCTGTTAGGGCTGGGAATGTGGCTTAGTGGCAAAGTGCTTGCCTAGCATACATGAAGCCCTGAGTTCCATTCCTCAGTACCATATACACAGAAAAAGCTGGAGGTGGTGCTGTGGCTCAAGTGGTAGAGTGCTAGCCTTGAGCAAAAGTAAAAAGTAGCTGAGGGACAGTGCCAAGACCCCGAGTTCAAGCCCCAGGACTGGAAAAAACAAAACAACAAACAAACAAAACACCTTTGTTAGAAGGTGTGCATTACAATTCTTCCTGGTGGAATCTTCCATCTTTGAAATAACCAGCAAACAAACCAGGATAGAGATGTGGCCTAAGTGGTAGAGCTTCACAAGCTCAATGCCCTTGATTTCAAACCACAACAGTACCACAAAAAAGAAAAAGCAAAGCAAAGACAACTGCATCAACATTGGGACAGCTATGCAAGACTTGTTTAAGGATGCCATCCTTAGAAACGAAAAGATAACTATTATTAAAACAAATGGTAAAATTCAAATGCAGAGCATGTACTCAAAGAGAAACACAGAAAACCAAGCACTAAACAACGAAGATTAACAAAAGATAAAAAGGACACAGAGAACCAAATGGGCTTAACAGACATATATAAAAGTCAACTCCAAATTGATCAGATTTCAGTGTGAGGCCTGGAAATAATAGAACAAAAATATAAGAAAAAACACTTTAAGAATTGTATATAGGTCAATATTCCTAGCTACTCAGGAGGCTGAGATCTGAGGATCGCAGTTCAAAGACAGCTTGGGCAGAAAAGTTCCTGTTAGACTTTTATCTCTAATTAACCATTCAAAAACTGCCAAGTGGTGCTGTGGCTCAAAGGGGTAGAGTACTAGTGAGCAAAAGAGCTCAGGGACATTGCCCAGGCCCTGAGTTCAAGCCCAACGACACACACACAAAAAAGACCCCAAAAGCACATCTTAACAGAAGCAAAAACTGACATAGGACGCCACTAAACTAAAAGTTTTCTGTAGAGAAAAGCAAACAATCCAGGGAAGAGGTGACCTACAGGGTGAAAGAAATATCTGCACATTATTCAAAAGGATATTAGTTTCCAGAGTATGTAAGGGACTCAAACAGCTAACCAAAGCAGAAAAACAGAGCATCTAGATAAGTCTCATTAAGTGACCTGAGCTGACATTTCTCAGAAGAGGACATATAATTAGTCCCATCAGTACCTGAAAAAATTCTTTTTATGCCAAAATCAAGGAAAGCAAATTAAAAGCTCATGGTTACAGTGGTAATTATCAAAGATACCAAATCACTAATGTTGAATTGTGCATTCAGAAGAAATGAAATCACTAATGTGGAAAAAAAAAATCTGTCCTTGTTGCTTACAACAGAGCAAAAGACAAGATAGGGAATCAACAACATATTTGTCTATCCGCAGAAAAATGGACAAAGAAAACACCCACATCAACAATGGACTATTAATTTAGCCTGAAACAAAATTCTGAGATGGGCATTGAGGTTCATGCCTGTAGTCTCAGCTACCCAGGAAATGGAGTTGGGAGGACTTGTGAGTTCATGGTCAGCCTGGGCAAAAAAGCAACAGGACCTTGTCTCTAAACAACACTCGGGGGGGGGGGGGATATAGCTCGGTGGTACGGCCAGGGTTGGGGGGGATATAGCTCGGTGGTATGGCCAGGGTTGGGGGGGATATAGCTCGGTGGTATGGCCAGGGTGGGGGGGTAAATATAGCTCGGTGGTACGGCCAGTGCTCAGCAAGCATAAGATTCCCGAGTTCCAGGTCCTGGGTTCAATTCCTCAAGAGTAAAAAGAAAAGAACAACAAACAAAAATCCCTCCAACAAAACAAACCAAGGGTTGGAGGTACAGCTACAGTGTTGAGTCCTGGCTGACTGAAGACCCTGGGCTCAATTACTAGTATTTAAAAAATCAGGAAAGCACTAAAACCCTCATTTGCCACGTGTCATGGCTATGGACAGAACTGCAGAACGTTGTTACTATTATTTTTTTGTCAGTCATGGGGCTTGAACTCTGGGCCTGGGCACTGTCCCTCAGCTTTTCAGCTCAAGGTGAGCGCTCTACCACTTGAGCCACAGCGCCACTTCCAGTTTTCTGGTGGTTTATTGGAGATGAGTCTCACAGAACTTCCTGCCCAGGCTGGCTTTGAACTGTGATCCTCAGATCTCAGCCTTCTGACAGGCGTAAGCCACAGGCACCTGGCTTGCAGAACGTTAAGTGAACTGTTTCAGACGAGGAAAGGCACACACTGCTTCGCTCACATGTTTTGTGACAGTGAAAGAGGACCTCAGAACAGAATGCATGAAGGGGGGCAGGGAAGGTGGCTCAGTGGTAGAGTGCTTGTCTTGCATACATGAGGCCCTGGGTTTAGTTCCTCAGCGCCACATAAGCAGAAAAAACCGGAAGTGGGGCTATGGCTCAAATGGTAGAGCGCTAACTTTGAGCTGAAGAGCTGAGGGACAGCGCCCAGGCCCAGAGTTCAGGCCCCATGACCGACCCAAAAAAAAAAAAAAAAAAATGCATGAGGGCTTCTGTTTCTAGAGAGGGTGGAAGGTAGAAGGGTGGAAGGTAGAGGGATGGAGAAACGGGTTTGCATGTGCTGAGAACTTCTGGATAGGATGAATAATTTCTTGACCTATAGCATAGTAACCTATAGCTCAAAATAATGAAACAAATATCTGTGTATGTGTGTTTGTGTTCCTGCACACACGTGTGCACGTGTGCATACCAGTCTAAAGCTTGAACTCAGGGCTGAGGTGCTGTCCTTAAGCTTTTTGCTCAAGACTAGTACTCTATCACTTGAGCCACAGCTCCACTTCTGGCTTCTGGATATAAACCTCATGGACTTTCCTGCCCAAGGTAGCTTTGAACCATGATCTTCAGATCACACTCTCCTGAATAGTTAGAATTTCAGGCATGAACCACTGGTGCCTGGCTTCATGTATCTTCAAATAGCCATTAGAGAGATTTTAAATGTTTCTAACATAGACACGGGAACTGAGCTAACACAATTTCCCATTACCTCAAGGGGATATTTACACATAAATGCACACTGAAGGGCCACATTGTATAAGTGCAGTTTTGAATGTCAGTGAAAGTAGAATTGAAAGCTTGAAACAGTTCCTATATATATATTTTTTTTTGCCCATCCTGGGGCTTGAACTCTGGGCCCGGGCACTGTCCCTCAGTTCCTTTTGCTCAAGGTAAGTGCTCTGCCTCTTGAGCCACAACCCCATATCTGGCTTTTTCTGAGTAGTTTATTGGAGATAAGAGTCTCCCAGACTTTCCTGCCCAGGTTGGCTTCAAACCAATGATTCTCAGATCTTGGCCTCCTGAATAGTTAGTATTATAGGTGCGAATCACCTGCATTCTACTCAATTCCTATATTTTCAATGTAAGAAATTTATTCTTCAGTGTGCCAGTGGCTCACGCCTATAATCCCAGCTACTCAGGAGGCTCAGATCTGAGGACTGAGGTTCCAAACCAGTCTGGGAGGATAAGTGCATGAGACTCTTATCTCCAATTAACCACTAAAAACCCAGAAGGGGAGCTGTGGCTCAAATGGAAGAGTGCTGGCCTTGAGCAAAAAAGTTCACTGACAGTGCCCAGGCCAGATCCAGGAATATACACACAAAAAAAGAAAAGAAGAAAGTGCGTGGAAGTGCCGCTCACCCACAAACACGAGGCTGCTGTAGTTGTCCAGCATGACGTCTCTGTAGAGCGTCCGCTGGGCATCGTCCAGGTCCTGCCACTCCTCCCGGGTGAAGTCCACGGCCACGTCCTCGAATGACACCAAGCTCTGTAACGACACATTGCTCCTCAAATCTGAAGCTCTGGGAACAGGAGCAGAAGAGTCCATTCTTCCGTGGGGACACGCTTCTTCCATCTGTCTTCCATAAGACAGTTTGATTTGTGTCCTGTTTCTCAGGAGAAAGAAAAATCATCAAGAATTTTTTTATTATTACCTTTGTATTAATTCAGTGATTCAAAAAAAATCAGGGATTTTCTCATATAGATTTAGTGCATCTATATATCTATCTCTCTATTTTTTTTTTTCTGTGCTGGTCCTGGGGTTAGAACTCAGGGCTATCCCTGTGCGCTGTCCCTGACTTCTTTTGCTCAAGGCTAGCACTCTACCACTTTGAGCCACAGTGCCACTTCTGGTTTTCTGGTGCTTAATTCAAGAGTCTCATGGTCTTTCCTGCCTGGGCTGGCTTCAAAAACCATGATCCGGGCTGGGAAGATGGCTCAGTGGTAGAGCGCTTGCCTTGCATGCATGAGGCCCTGGGTTCGATTCCTCAGTACCACAAAAGTAAAAAGTAAAAAGCCAGAAGTGGCGCTGTGCTTCAAGTGGTAGAGCGCTAGCCTTGAGCTGAAGAGATGAGGGACAACAGCCAGGCTCAGAGTTCAGGCCCCACGACAGGACCCCCCCCCAAAAAAAAAACAAAAAAAACCATGATCCTAGGCAGATGCCAGTGGCTCACGCCTATAATCCTAGCTACTCAGGAGGCTGAGATCTGAGGATTGCGGTTCAAAGCCAACCTGGACAGGAAAGACCATGAGACTCATCTCCTTATTACCACCAGAAAACCGTTTCTACTGCTCTTTGTACTTACTCATTGTCAACGTTCCCTTATTCAAAGCTTTTTCTTAAGAGTGTTGATGACTCCAATATCTGATGAGTGTCTTAAAAATATGACTAACTCACCAGAGTTAAGTGCTACCCTGGAAGCCCCTCTTATGGAGGCTAGTAGAAAAGCCATAAGTAAATATAAAAGTATTGGGGGTTTCACGATGTCACTTCAGCAGAAGGAATTGTCTGTAAGGGATTTACAAGAAGCTGTAGGCGCGGCTAGAACAGAAAGAACAGAAAGAACGTTTGGCAATTGCTGAGATAACTACTTAGGAGAAAGAACTTCCTGTTACTCTCTTTCATTTACTAAGCGACTTGCTAGATCTAGGCCTCCGTGACCTTACTATTAAAGAAGGAACAGGAAAGATCTTATGGGACAGTTAAGGCCTCTATAGAAAAAAGTAGGGGTTAATTGGTGACAAACATAGAAACCCATTATATTTCTTAGAGATAAGCCGGAAACAAGTGCCTATCAGGCGACCAGCTGGTGACCACCCAAGAATGAAGCCCTGCAGCAAGACTGTGTAACCTTTTGCCCTTTCTTATGGAGACTTTTGCTATAAAAGCTTGTTATCCTCTGCATTAAATCGCACTCAGCATCCACTCCTCTTGTGTGTGAGTTGTCTGTTTGCCATCTCCCCACCTATTCCAGTTCCTCCCTTAGCAATAATGAAAGAATAGGAAATATAAATTACTCTGCATCTATGTTTTACTCCAAGTTCCTATCTTCTACATGAATGTGATATCAAGAACGTGAAGCCACAGAAGATGAGATGGCACAAAGAACAGAATTAGGTTCATGGAAGGACACCCAATACCATGTCTGAATGGGGATATTTAGTTAACTGAATAGTGCAGTGGTTAACCCAATTAATTTAATCTGATTAATCCCAACCATTGAAATTTCACGTGCTTGCTGTTAATACAGATGACTGTCCCTTCATATACATCCTTCTATTCTCAAATCCAAAAGAATTACTAGCCTCCACAACAAAATGAACACAACTGCCAGGTGCTGCATGCTGGTGGCTCATGACTGTAATCCTACTCAGGAGGCTGAGATCTGAAGATTATAGTTTGAAGTTGGCACAGGCAGGAAAAGTCCATAAGACTCATCTCCAATTAACCAGTAAAAGCTGGAAGTAGAAGAGCACCAGCATTTAGCAATAAAGCTAAGGGACACTGCCCAGGCCCTGAGTTCAAGCCCCAGGACCAGCACATGTGCATATGCATATGCATGTGCATACCCACCCACCCCAATTTAAAAAAAACCCAAAAACTTACTACAAAGATAATTTCCCCCGAAATTAATCTATATTATCCCATCAAAATTTCAAAGGCCAAGTATTTATTATAAGGGTCTAGACACAAAACATTAATCTGGAAGCTTGTGGTATGTTGTGAAATTACCCTGAACACTTTTATGAGCAATAAAATTAGCTCTCGTTATTTGACACAAACATTATGAAACTATAATATTGTAAGAAGAGGGGCTGGGAAGGTGGCTCAGTGGTAGATTGCTTGCCTTGTATGCATAAGGCCCTGGGTTCGATTCCTCAGCACCACATAAGCAGAAAAAAAAAAAAGCCGGAAGCGGCGCTGTGGCTCCAGTGGTAGAGCACTAGCCTTGAGCTGAAGAGCTGAGGGACAGAGCCCAGGCCCAGAGTTCAGGCCCCATGACTGGAACCCTCTCCCTCCAAAAAAAAGGCTGCAGCTCAAACATGTGGATCAACACAGGGCTGAGGGGTAGGGAAAAAGTAACAAAATGTGCCATATGCACATCTCAAATACAACAGTGAAACCCTTTGGGGGAAATTTCTATATGTGGGGGAAAATGTGGTTTTGGGAGGAGGTATTATTCAGGGGAAGAGATATAAAAGGATGAATATGGTTTGCTTGCATGGATGAAAATAGAACAATGAAACCTGTTGAAATTGTTTTAGGGAAAAGTGGGACAGGAGAGAGTCTATCGAGAGAGGGGTTAGGCCCGGAAGGATACTTTTTTGGGGATGTGGGTGTGGGAATGTGTGCAAATCCTGGAGCTTGAATTCAAGGCCTGGGTGCTATCCTTGAGTTTTTGTGCTCAGGGCTAACGCTCTACCATTTAAACCATAGCTCTACTTCTAGCTCCTTGGTGGTTAGTTGGAGACAGAGTCTTAAAAGACTTTCCTGCCCTGGCTGACTTTGAACCTTGACCCTCGGATCTCAGCCTCCTGAATAGCCAGGATTACAGGCATGAGCCACCAGTGCCCTGCTCAGGATATATTGTTAACATGTGTGGAAATGAAACAAATAAACCCTTATTATACAGCTAACGCATATTAATAATAACGAAAGGGGTTTGGAAAAGTGAGGCACACTTGGGCGTGAATCCTGCCTTATGGAAGGTGTCCAGGATAAAATCTCAAACAGCACCACCCTGGGGAGAAGAGTGAGAAGAAGCAGGCCACTCTGACTACAGTTCCCTGTGCGTGGCTCTTAACTCACACAGCACCGGCCTCACCACAGAACCAAGTACTTCCACTGCCTTCATCCCCCTGGGTCGGGGTTCATAAAACCCCAAAGGACTGTCTCTTCCAGGAAGGGATTTTCCAGCATAGTGGCTAAAGGCTGGTATGTCAGTTTTATCTAACCCGCTGCAGGGAGTCAGTAGGGCAAGGAGACCTGCCCGAGTATCTCCTGCACCCCCCCTCCCCATTACTACACTGACAACTTGGGGCTACTGGGTCTTCCAGTTAGAAGCCTGTGGGTTTCAGCTTCAATATATTCTATCCAGTGTGTGTGGGTGTGTGTGTGAGATCTTTTTTTTTTTTGGGGGGGGGGAACC